ATAAACCAGGAAAAGCCTCTGGAAAGGTCTGCTAAGCAGAGAGCTGAAAGGAACATCTCTCAAGGTACAGCGGGCATACCCTGGCTTCGGCTCAAAACACAGCCTTAGGTGACCTCTGCTGTGTGATCACAGGTGATAATCACACATTGCACTTAAAATTACTGATTGACCTGCCCAGGATGCGTTAAAATCAGCACAGAAAAGTAGACATGAGAAAAAAATACTTACATTCCTGTCCATATGGGATAGATTCGAGTTGCTAAGCTGAAGAAAATAGGCAGGTGCCCCCTCCTGCTCATTAAAGGGAGTTGTGAAGCAAACTGCAGCATTAAGATCCGGCTTACACACAAGCCAGATAAATTACAATTTCTTTCTTTTTCTCTTTTTTTCTTTTTAACAGCTTGTCTCAAACAAGCTACAACAATATGCATCTCCAGCAGAGAAAGCAGGTCAGCACTGACTGCCATTCAGAAGGAGAAATGGTCAATTAAAAGAAAGAAGCCAATTAAGAGGCAATTGGGCACTCCTAGTTAGGAAGTTACTAGGGAGAAGGGAAAGGAGATAAGGAATATGACTGTCTGAGAATACCCAGTCTCCCCAGCAGAGGCTGGAGCAAACCTGGGGCTGTGGATGAGATTCATTCATGTCCTTGCCTGCAAACTGAGGAACCATGCTATGATCAGACCCCAGAAATTCAAAATAAAATCAAAATCCAAGCAACAGCACTGTGTTTTTGTCACCTTTAAGCTTCTTTTTTTCCTTGTTAACAAGATCAAGAAATTTCTTTGCCAGAGAAAGCTCTATAATTCTGTAAACTTACAAAAGTTTGTGAAAGACAGGATTACTGATTAACTCCTGATTAATGCTGAAGCTTTAGGGCAGTCTAGCAGCTAAATTAATACTTAAACTGTACATGCAGGATTCAAAACCAACTGTTAACATTCTTGAGTCTCTTGCAAAGCAAGCTTGCTCTCGAGGTCTTCAGAATAAGCATAATAGTCCTGGGTTTGGTCCCATGTACCCTAAGCACAATGAATTTGTGGCCATGTAAAACTACTGAGAACAAGGTCAGAAGGAAGCCCAAGCAATAAAAGGTCAGGTCACATGAAAAGCTGACCTTCACTTTGTTGCAGCAGAATTTTTGCAAAAAGAAAAAGTTGCAATCCCTTTCGAAAGAAAATGTAAGATGTAACCTAACCCACATCCACCACCAAATCAAAGGTCAATAATGTTAAATGTACCTTTTTATATTGCCCAGAAAAGCTGAATATACTGGATCTGTTGAAGTGTCTAATAACAGCTAGAATCAAGAACAGCAGAAGGTAAATTTGGATGAAAAGTCTCTTCTGGAATGTACCAGATAAGGCTTCTTTCAATATCATAAAAATATATGGAGAAGAAGCTTTTAATTCAATCGGCATTAAAGAGTTTCAATTGATTCCGGGGGGAAACAAAAACACAAGCACATCTCTGCTCAGCATAAAAAGAAACAGTCTTTGTAACGGAGCAGAAGGACACACACTTTTCTCTCTTTTTCAGAAATAAAGCTCTGTAAACACTGAGCCTACTATCAATCTGTACCTTCTTGATGCTCTGAATGACTTGGCCCAATAACAGCAAAGCCACTGCCCTGCATTGCTGAGACAAGGCACAAAACCTGCTTAGACTTGGCTTCAGAGCAAATCAGGAACAGGACATGGGCTGTCTCACCATGGGCATGTTTGGAATTTGAAGAAATTACCTTTTTTATTTTAAATTAGAAAAACTATCATCCTAAATCTGTATTCAAACCCACAAATGGTTCCTAACGGAATAACATGTTGATTAAGTCATCAAACAAAGCACTCTAGTGCTGGTAGCAGCAAGGCACCAGCTGTTTCTGAGAGCAGCTGTGTGTCAAGGGCAAAAACTGACAAGTTTTCTGTTAAAATCCAGGTACCTGACCGTGCTGTCCTTTTCAGCAGCAGGAGGACAGAGGCACAGCTCACTGGGTCAGAGCCTGGGTTGGATCCCTGTGTGTCCATTCACTGAAGGGCTGCACTCAGTGATCCTTGTGGGTCCCTTCCAACTCGGAATATTCTATGATTCAAATGTGGAGTCAGCAGGAATGTTCCTACCCAAAGTGCACAGAAGGAAAGGAACCTCTGCCTTTCAATTAATTATTTAAATTACTTGATGCAACCCTTATGTTCACAATCTGCAGCTACACTGAGAAACATAAGCAGTCCAAAACCTCTAAGGACCTTAATCATTACAGAATACGCAGGGGGAACTTGTTGACAACTGCAGCAGTCATTTAAATCTGCTGGCACTTTTGGAAACAAACAGCTCTGTATAAAATCCAGCTGGAGCTGGCTTCTCCTCGCCTTGGTCTCTGAACACTGACAGCAGGACATCCCCACCTCCACCCACCAGGTGCTCAGCAGGGCCGGCAGTGAATCCTCTACCTGATCACGTGGAGCACACGGGTGTTTTCTCTCCTGAGAAAAGCACAAAGCAATTCTTCTGCAGCTGTCACTGAGAAATGCTTCCCCCAGAAACAGCTTGTGTTGTTCTTCAGAGTGTTTTTACTGCTGGACAGCAACCATGGGTTTTTCATGGAAATAGTTTCCCCCTCCAAAAGGTAATCTCCTACAATTCTTCACTGTTAAAATCCACAAGCAATAATGGGTTGGTGATGTTAAAGCTTTCTGTCTCCCCACCAGAAAGTTATTTTATTGTTAATTTTTGGTCAAAGCCCAACAAATCATTCCCACCCATCAGAGGAGGATGTGCTGCAGCAGTCTGAGACTCCACAAATCTCCAATCACCAGTGAGACGCCCCTGGAGTCTTGACCTTGTGTGCAAACCTTGTCTTTCTGCTCAAGTGCTGCTCAAAACATCCTTTGAGTAACTACTGATTTTATAGTATGTAAACTTCAAAACACTTCTCTGAATTTTAAGGGACAAAGATAGTACATCAAAAATCAAGAGGATGAAAGGCAAGACCATGCAAAGGAGATAAACAATTTTGTTATATTTTTTTTAGGTTAAGAGTACAGAGCTTTTATGAAGCTAGTGAAAATCTTCTAGATGAGCCTTTAGGGCACATCAATTTAGAATTATTTTCTTTCTGCTCCCTCCTCACTAACATTGCTCAAAAACAGTGCTGAAAATAGTTGCCAGCAATGTAATTGAGCCTGTGAGAGGCACCATAAAGGCTTCTGTGCCTCAAGGCACATCACTTCTGCTCCTCCTTTTATTTTTCCATGTATTTAATTGAACTTGGCAGTAACCTTTACCACATGAAACCAAGATGGCAAAAAAGCAGATTTGATCTGTGTGCTGAGTCTGGACTGCCTTGCTGTGAACTGCTGGGGGAAGTGGTGCCTGGAGATTCCCTGGGTTTGAAAGGGAGACGTTACCTGTCCCCCTGCTCCCTCTTGGTGGGAAATTTAGCCCCACATCTTGTCCATGTAGCAGGCAACAGCAAAAAAAAAAAGTCAGGATAGCAAACCTCTGCAGGAATTTTCCCCAAATGACATGTAACTTTTGATAGGGAGCACTGAGTATCTCACAAGCACAGGTAGAGGAACCTGATCCTTTACCCTAATCCTTAAGCTTTCAAAATACTACAAATTGTAGGCAATCAAAATAAAAGAAAAACTATAAACTATACAGCCAAAACCTTGCATTAACCTTATATCTACAAACTAGTCTCCCCTTCACTTTATTTTATGCTGTATTTCACCCCCAAACTTTATGTTTGCCAGAAAGATTTTTCAAAATGGAAAGCAGTATCTTTTGTGTTTGGCTGAAATCCAGCACTGCAGGACATCCTTCCTGGCTGGAAGGCACAGAAACAACACTGCTAAATGTGTTCAGGACCACAAATACCTTCTCACTGGCACAGAGAATAAGGAAAACCTATAATTCTGAGAGTAGATTAAAGTTCTAAGACTCATCACACATATCTAATTAGCAGAACACAGTGTACAAGGGAGTGCCAACCTTCTGTGTTTGGGTGAGAATGCCCTGAATTGGCACACCTGGAGGGCAGGGTAGGACACCAGTGCCATCCCATCCCAGACACACCTGGAGCAGGTGTTGTGTGGGCTGGCAGGCAGGGGCTGCAAACACCCCTGGACTGGCCCCTTCTTCCCCTTTGTACAGGAGAGCAGAGACCAGGGTCCTCCCCTGCTCCTGAGGGAGGATGGACAGGGCTGGGAGGGCAGCAGTGCCTTCCTCACTTCCCAATGGCTTCACTCTCTTGGTCAGCAGCTCAATGTCCAGCTCTGCAGCACCAATCTCAAATTACAAAGCATTTCTAATGCACGGGATCATAGAAGTTGGTGCAAAACCAACTCCATCCTGAAGCTGCAGAGAAGAAATTCTGGCAATAATGGAAGGACATAATCAGTATTACTGTCATAAAATGTCTGTAGTTACTACATTGGCAATTTTTCCAAATGGGTTAGCTTAGAGGCTGGCCTCTTGCACTGATTACTAAATTATTTTCTTTACAAAGGTCTAAGTGGCTCTGCTTTCCAGATGAATAGCCTGAAGCCACTTGGTTCAGAGCTTCAGTCCCCTGAGATTCATCTTGGACAGTAAAGAAATGAGACAGATGAACACTAAACTACTCTGTGTACAAATCCAGCAGTGGCTTGGCTGATGAGAACACTTTGTGCAAAGTACCACTGAATTTAAAATAAAGACAGAGGTGAACTGAGCTGAGTTAAAAGTTAGAAGAAGTCAGAAGCAGTATTTGATAACAAACCATTTTAAACCAAATAAAGCTTCTTGAAGAGAACTTTGGCTTCACCACATCTCACTTCATCTGGGAGAGCTGCCTTGCCAGTCAAATTAGGAGCAGTGTGCTGGAACTGGCACTTTCCCAGCCCAGCCCCTGCCAGAATTCTGGAGTGCCCTGTTCCCCTCGCCTGCCCCCAAGGAGCAGCAGTTTCTTTATCTGAACATGCAGTTATACACTGGCCCGGCTCTTGCTGAGCAACACTTACTTTTTTCTTGAAAGAGAGCACCTGTGCTCGGGGAGGGGAGCTCTTAGCAGCCACTTGCACATCTGGCGGGTGGTGATGGCAGGTCAGGAGCAGGAGAGGCTGGGCGTGCGGGGCGAGGATCTCACGCAGAGCCACGGAGACACAGCTTTCCTCCAGCCTTGGCCCACATGGAGCAGGATCTGGGCAGCACAGCAGGAAACAGGGAATTCAGCCCCTCTGGCAGCTGCTCCAAAGGAGGTTTGGTGATGAGCTGGGCAGGTTCGCTGTGCCTGTGGCTCAGGGCTCTCCTAGCAGGAATCCAGTGGGCTCTCCTCAAAGCACTCGGAGCCTGGGGGTGGCACTGGGCTGAGCTGCTCACCAGGGAGGAGACTCACACACGCCAGGGAGACCTCTGGGGAAGAGAGAGGGAGAGAGAGATGAATGAAAAACAATGTTTATCCTTGAAATTTAAATGTCTATAGTATGTTTGAAACGTCCCAATTAAATTAGTCTATTAGACAAAATCCCATTAATTGGACAGCTTGGTCAGCTGTGGCTTACTCAGAATTTGTTCTGGTTTTAGCATTTTATCATTAAACATAGTTCTGAGCAATTCAAACCTCACAAGACCAAGGAAAAGTTGCCCATAATTAACGTCTTCAAGTGTTAGCAGCTTTCACACAAACACCAGCAAGAGCTCACACCACTCTCCCCCACTCTACTCCACTTGTTTATTTAATCTGGTTTATCACTGAATTTCTTCTCTGGGTTCCACTGATGCAAACTTGCACTGGTTTGAAGGGTTCCTCTGCAAACACAACAAACCAGCTCCATACAGGAAGGTTTAATCTGTCACTAGAGCTTTTCAGCAATCAGATCCCTAAGCATTAGCTTTGTTAATTAAAGTAGCACATCTGAAAAATTAGCAGAAGGGAATACATTGGCATATTTCTGTGCAACAGGGAGAATTTATAACTTCAGCAGTCACCAGTGGATTGAAAAAGCCAGTAGAGCATGCCACATGATGTTGCAGCACCCCTGGGCTAGAAAGACAAATAATATGAGTCATTTAAAAACCAGAAACATTCAAAAGATCATTAAAAAGCTACTAAACCTCACAAAATCAAATAAATACATTAATCAATTAAAACCTCTATGAAGCATCCTAATTGAATTTTGCTGTAGTAGTGTCATATGGCTTTGGGAACTGCCCTTCAGTAATCCAATCAAAAATTGGCATGTTCCCATCCCCACTTATTCTCCCTGATTAGTGAAATATCAGGAAGCAAATAAAAAACAAGGTGGCGGGATTCAGAAAAAACAAATACTAGTATTTAAATTTTTTCATGTTCTTCTCATTCAGGAATCTTGAACTCACTTATCCAAGACAGTGGATGGCATCCTTCTGCAAGAGCGAGTTATGGCCAGGAACCCCTACAGGTATCATGGAACACAGAATCAGGCAAGGGGAATCATCCAGCACAGGAGCCCAGGCCAGGGAAAAGCCTGACACTCTGAGGGACTGAACAGCTCTTGCTCCAAAACATCTCAACTGCACAGCCCAAGAAAACAAAATGGCAAAACTCCCCTGTGCCCCCAAACAAACCCCACAGCCCCACACAGACCCCAGAGCTGGAGCAGCCCCAGGGAAGCCTCCATGCAGAGGCTGTGCAGGAATCCAAGAGAGTCAAAATGTCTTTCCAGGAGTCTCCTGTTGTATCAGCCCAGCACAGAAGGGCTAAACGAGATGGGGAAGGAGCAGGAAAAGCAGCAGCAGCACTTTGGAAGGCCAGGAGCAGATGTGTGCTGGCTGCAGCAGTGTCTGCCCCAAACCAGCCCCAAAGCAGAGTCAGCAGAGCAGCAAGAGCTTAGGGGAGCTTAGCACTGACATCTGTAAGCACAGTAAACGGGAAAACTACTGATGTAACTGATCTCAGCTAACCCACAGACCTACTGTCACATCAATATACCAAATATCACCCACCAGTGCTCTCCGAAGGGAGAGGAAGCCGAGCAGGAGGCACAGAAGATGTGCACAGTGTGTTTGTGTATAAGGGGATCCTGTGATGGACCATCCAGTGCAGGTTCTTGGCTCTGCTGTCTGTTTTCAAGTACCACAAAATTTCTGTCTTTAAAAAGTCCTTTTTGCAACAAAAGTTATTCTCAACTGGTAACTCTCCTTTACCAGGCCACCCAATGTAATTTATACTGCACATAGATGACAAACCCCAGTGAAGACTTTGCTGTGCTACAGCCTGGGGCCCAAGGCTCTCATGCTGGTGACCCTCCCAGCGTGTGACAGCTGCTGAGAGGAGCCTGAGCAGAGGACAGACTGCAGCAGCTGCTCTGAGCCTTGAAGGAGTGAGAAACCCCCAGCCTTACACACTGCACACTGCCTCCTCCTTTATCTTCTGTAAAATAACGTCTCAGGAAAGCAATTTCCAAAGTGACTAGTGCTGCTGGTGACACACAGCTAGGTGAAAGAGAGAATTTACAGCGATTAGAATAGATCAGATTTATGGACTAACAGGAGAGGCGATGCGTGAAGCAGGGAATGAAACGTAATGAGGCCAAGAAAAAATTAAACACATGCTCTATTCCAACCTAAACAGCAGTGTACAATTAGACAGGAAACACAATCTAAAACAATTCACATAATGCTTCATAGCAGTATCAAGGAAAAGCAGAAAAGGTCTTGCAGCTCTTACAGACCTCACAATACAGAGAACAAACCAAGGGAAGACTGTGAGGCTGCTTGAAACATCTGTGGGAAATGCACAAAGAGCCTGGCAGTCTCAGGAGCACTTTTTGCCACACTGAAAAATGTGAGACACTGCCAAACAGGCTTCCAGAAGGTTCAAACTCAGTCCTGAAAGATTTCATAGATACTGTTTTATTTAGGCAATATGAGCATTTTTGGAAAATTAAACCTACAAGTTACATTAAATCACCCTAAAGCTTGCAGGACCTGGAGGCCTTCAGGCATGTGACAGATAAATGCAATAGAGAAGCTGTTTCTCAAAATGAAAGGGTATAGCAGGGAATAAAAGTGGCCTAGGGGAGAACAGGAATGAGAAGCCAAGAGTTTGAACTGGTCCTTGAAAAAGCCTTGGTGGTCTGGTTGTGGGGCTGAGCCATGCTGCAGAAAATGCTGTGCCAAAGGATGTTCTGGGTTAGCAAATACTGCTGGGGGGAACACCTGAATGCAAATAACTTATGTACAGATAGGGAATAACCTATTTACAGAGAGGGATGCCCTTAAAACTGTGAAAATGCTCTGTGCAAGGTTTATATTTCTACTCTGAAAACATTTACATACATGCTTAACTTTATATGTGTTGCCTAGTGAAATCAACTGGGATAACCATGGGCTTCAATTTTCATTACAAAATGCAAGGGGATTAGCAGGCTGGTGTGTTTTTAGCTGTCTTTGGTTCACTGTATATTTTTTGCAGTTGTACTTGGTGCAACAGAAAGAACTGCAACTCCCAGAAAGCTAAGAGAAAATGCAAGGTTTTAAAATACTATCAGATGCAACAAAATTTTTCTTTAGTGGAGAGCACTCATTTTTAAAGGCCCTCTGTACATACTTTATTAAAGTATTTCCCTGATCACAGCAAATTCTTAGCTGTATTCCTGACTTCTTCATTTGGCTCAGAAGTAAAATTATCATTCAGATATTAGCAGTTTTGCTGTTCAAAGTCTAATCTATTTTGAACACTTAAACAAAGTCAATAAATATTTAAATTGAATATAATCTGCACTTGCTTAGTGATTTTAATTAAGAATTAAGTTGATGTTCCCTTGAAAAGTGTGTTTAAAGCCAGTGCAATAGGAGAATGATGTTAGAGCATTGAAGACTCTGTACCATTATAAATATATTTTCTAGTATATTGCAGGCTGAGTTTAGCACTATGGTCAATGTTGCTACCTGACTACTCAGATTCATATTAAAAAAAAATATTGAAAGCTTAACTAAATCTTGAAGTTCTTTGACTGAGGCACAGAAGAGTGTTTACTCAATTTTTCCCTCCATTTTTATTTCTATTCTGAGTTCAGTTCCTTCAGGATTCCCTCCCTGAGCCCACTGGCTTGACAAAGGAGCCTCATGGACATTTATATGGCTTTAGAAAGAAAAGTCTCCTGTGCTGGCTTCACACAGTTCTTTTCAAACAAGAGTGTTACAATCCTATTTGAGACAAAACCTTATTCCTTGCATGAGGATTACAAAATCTGAATCCCACCCATGGGCTCTCCCCATACTAAATAAATCCAAGACCAAAGGGAGCCCCACCCACCCCAGAGCACGTCCCTAACTCAGGAAAGCTGCACAAGTTACAAATCCCACAGTCAGCTGCAAGTTTTTTCTCTTGTAGTCCACAAACAAGTAAAAATATTTCTTCTATTTGTTCTAGTCTCTGAAAGTATGCCTGCATAGACTGTAGTTGCATTTTTATCCCAGCATGGACACTGTATTGGACAAATTTTTCTTTGGTTTAAGGGACAGAGTCTGATGTGGGGGGACAGGCTGTGTCTGCCCTTTACCCCAGAACTGTGAACAAACAAATAGAACCCAAAAAAACAAAAACCCCACAAAAACCAACCAACCAACCAAACAAACAAACAAAAAAAAACCCACCAAAAACCGTCCCAAACAAAACAATACAAAAAATAAATAAGAAAATAAATATTTAAACCCAGTTTCAATAATTCTGAATGTTACTAACTAAAGCAACAAAAGGAAATTGGTGTTTTGCAGAGTGAAGCTTTCCATTCTCCTTTGAGCAGCTTTGTGGCATGTAAAAAGATAATAAGAAGATAGCTCTCTTCCTCTGGAGGCCTTGATTTAAAAAATCTCTAATTCACAACCAACGGCCACTTTCTGATCTAGAAACAAACAGCCCACCCGAAAACCCCAACTCAGCACCCCACAGAAGAGCACCACACACAGACACAGTCACGAGAGGGTGGAAGATGAACTCTCTTTTTGATCTTTTGATGAGAAAGAGCACAGTTTTGACACAAAATTCCATTTTCTCCAGTGGACACCAAACAACTCAGGGTAGCACAGTCCAAGAGAGGATTTTCAAAACTGCCATCCATCTAACTTTAATCTGTTCTACCAATTCAGCTGGTGACATCCAGTGCCCCAAGGCATGAGCACATTGCTCTTTCCCTGCTAAAGAGTCAGCATAGGCAATATGGGATATTTAAGTATTTTAGAACACTCTTAGGAAAGAAAATTAAACAGAGCAAAGCCCAGACAGAAAAAGCCAGCAATAATATTTTCCACCACAGCAGAATTTTCATTTCATGGAAGTTTGGCGCTGGGTACATAGGAGCAGGGTCTCTGCCAGCAAGGTAGGGTACTGCAAACACATTAAACCCACAGCAATTCTTCATGGCTTCAGCTCTGCCCTCTGCCATTCTCCTTTTTCCTGCAGTCCTTTGCACAGAGAATGAGACATATGCCAGCATCACCTTTCACTCTGTCCCTCAGACACTTCTCTTCTTGCTTAATTTCCGATTAGCATTCCTGTTTTATATCCAGTATATCACTCATAATAATGTTAGTGCAGCCAAACAGTTCCTCCCCAAAGGAGAGGAAGGTTAATGACACTTCCTGTGGCTGTCACTGTATGCTTTGCATGAGAAAGGGAGTGGATTTTGAATAACAGGAGACAGCCTCTCCTGGAATGCCTCAGAGCATTCCAGATGATGTCCCTTCTTCATTGACAGGGTCTCTGAGGTGGAGATGACCCCGAGGTGTTGTTAGAAAGTCTCTTTTTCCCAGCCCCACAGTCAAAGAAAAAGTCGAGATTCCTCGGCTCTGGTTTTCAAGGCTGTTTATTTTCTCTTATCTAACACATTCTTTTCCTGACCCGCTGAGGTCTGTCTGGCAGGTCGGTTCGTGGCACACCGACCGCCCTTGGGGTGGTGTCAACATTTTATACTAATAACTACATGTATTTTATTTATACAATTTTCCAATACCTATCACCTATGTGAGACAGTCTGTCTCTAAACCAATCCAAAGGTGCCACCATCGCAGCAGAAGATGGAGGACAAGATGAAGATGAGGAAAGACAGACCACACCCAGATTCCTCCATCCTGCCTCTTGAACCCCCATCCTAAAACCCCCAAAATTCTACTTTTTCACCCTGTGACAAATTAACTATCATTCTACTCAAACTCTTGTGGGTCAAAGAAAAAGTCGAGATTCCTCGGCTCTGGTTTTCAAGGCTGTTTATTTTCTCTTATCTAACACATTCTTTTCCTGACCCGCTGAGGTCTGTCTGGCAGGTCGGTTCGTGGCACCCCGACCGCCCTTGGGGTGGTGTCAACATTTTATACTAAAAACTGCATGTATTTTATTAATACAATTTTCCAATACCTATCACCTATGTGAGACAGTCTGTCTCTACTCTAAACCAATCCAAAGGTGCCACCATCGCAGCAGAAGATGGAGGACAAGATGAAGATGAGGAAAGACAGACCACACCCAGATTCCTCCATCCTGCCTCTTGAACCCCCATCCTAAAACCCCCAAAATTCTACTTTTTCACCCTGTGACAAATTAACTATCATTCTACTCAAACTCTTGTGGCTTGTACATCTTCATACAAAGCTTGTCCTAATTTCCATGGGATAAAATCAAAGGCACAGGTGTCTTTGACTCCGTGCCAAGGTCTCTGAGCCCCCTGCCAGGGTCTCGAGCCATCCAGGGCAGTCACAGGAATGTCCTGGGTTCCAACACTTCATCACTGACCTTCAGCTGCACTGCCCACCTTTTAGAAACCAGGAGGTGCTTTTTTTTCCAGCCCTGACACTCTTGCACCCTGAGCAAACAGAGAAGGGGGCCAAGTGTCCTAAGGCTAGATCCTTGTCTGTAGCAGAGCAAAAACTGTGCCTTGGAAATGGAGCAAAGCAGCAGAGGCCAAGAGTTTGCAGTGGGAGTTCTCCTCCCTGCCAGCTCAGAGCCACACACAGCCCTGGGCTGGGCTGGGCACTGGGAAGCTCCTGCGGCTCCGCAGCCAGGCAGGCTGACAGCAGTGTCAGGTCCCTGCTTCACCTCCCAAACAATGCAAGGGGAGCCCAACTTGTGCATTCAAAGACAGAAAACACTAGAGGAACACAGTGCAAACAGGAGGGATAATCTGAATAGGAGTTTGACCTAGGAGCCACTGACTGCAGCCAAAATATTTCCATTTAAGTAAGTGCTGTTAATCTTATTGTATAATTTCTGTTACTTGTTAATCTTTCCCCAAAGAAAAAAAAAAACCTAATTCTGACTGCCTGGTAAAAGTTGCCACTGGTTGTGGCATTACAGTAACTTCAAATATTTTTATGCTAATAGCACACCATATTAGCAACTATACTTTTTTTCCTATTTTTTTACATTTCTTGTTGTTTAGATAATTAATTTTTTACCTCCAACTTATGTCAAACTGCTTTTGAATCAAAGATGGAATTCAATTCACAATGCAGAAAAAAAGTATTTTAATAGGTGCAGCAGCTACAAAAGAAAGCATTGAGTTTACATTTAAAATAGAATCAGCACATGAAGAAAATTATCTACATAATTAGTGACTTGAGGCAATTGTGGCTAATCATATTATGATCAAAAGATTAGAAAAGGCCTCACCTCATCTTTACCTAAGAAAGGACTGATGATAGCTGCTGTTTTTATGAACTACAGTGGTTTGCAATTAAGCAGATAATTTGTGTGCTTAGCCAGAGAATTCCCTGGGTTGTAGATTTCTTTACATGTTAATAGGAAACATCTTAGGCTTAAATATTTGGTTTATGTGAACTTGAGATATTATGATGGGTTTAAATCTTAATATAGAAATTATGCAATGTCATTTTAATTCTGAAGGGGTATATTTCAAAAATTTTTATACAAGGTTTAAGTTAAAAAGACAAAACCAATCCAAACAGAACCACCAACAAGCCTCCCCCCCTCCCCCAAGACTTCACATTCCCTGGAGATGGAACTGATTTGAAGGATGCCATCAACAAGAAAGGTCGGCTTCAAAACTTAATTCTCATCAGAAGCAAAGCAGATGGGACAGGAAATGTAGTCCAGCACCCCCACATAAGCATTCACAGGAGCAAAGGGTCTTATCCAAAATAGGAGACGGAGCCTGGGCTGAGCAGGATGTCAGGTACATCATCTCAGCTCATCACAAGGCTCAAACACCCACCCCTTCAGTCTCTGTTTCTCACTGGATCCCACTGACCCCCTTGCCAAAGTGGGAAATCTCTCTGTGTGCTGTTTGTGATGGAGAATTTGTCACGTCACTTTTGCATCACAAACAGAAGCCATGCTGGGCCCAAGAGAGCCCAGGTGCTCAGCAGGATCCATCCCCACACCAGGCTGTCTTTGCCCCAGGAGAGCCCAGCCCCTGCTCAGGGCTGAGCTGCCCAAACATCCCACAGCCCCTCTGGCACAGGGCTCCTCTGACCCTGCCAAAATCTGGGCTGAGACCTCATTCCCCAGCGCCACGGCCCTGGCGCTGCAGCTGCGGCTCTGCAGAGTCTGGCTTGCACTCTGGCTTTAGTTCAAACAGGAATCAATTCAGGGAAGCCCTCAATGATCCCTTTTGCCTTTAGGAACACTTACAGCACAGATCACTGCGTTTTGTCTTGGTGCCAGGCTTTGTACTCACTTTGTGTTACCATGAAGGGCTGCCAAAAGGGAAGGAGAGGAACTGGGGTCCATTAGCCCGACTTCACTTTCTCATGATCTTCCCAGAAGTCGCTGCCTGTGCTGCTCTGATGCATCTGTGCAGTTCTCATCCCAGGCACTGAAAGCCCACACTGCAGCCCTGGGGTATCTCCAGCTTTTCATGCTGGGTGACAGCAGCACAGGCAGCAAAGAGAGAGCTGATCCTCCAGAAAGTACCACTGGAAGGACGAGTTCTGTGTCAGCTCGCTGTCCCCACGGAAGGACAGCACTGGCCAAGCTGCAGGCTTCACATCAGCTGCTGATTCTGAGTGTCTGGCAAGCAAAGGAAGTGGCATTTCTATCAGCAGGAAACATTTGAGTCAAAGTTGAGATAACTGATCAGGAATGACCAAGTGTGCTTACCCAAGGGGTCATAGCAAGTGAATTTTGTCACCTAAAATTTAATGAGCCATTCCTACAAAAAGGGGTCTGGTTTTTTTCTGCCCCTTCAGGGGGGACTCACCAAAATAACGTGCTTAGTGCTCACAAGGAGGTAAAGAAACACACACCAGGGCCTCTGTTACAGCTAGTGCCTTCACAAAATGCCTATTTAATGTTTAATGGCTCTGAGGTTGCACTTTGCACCATCAGCTTTAAGACATAGCCTATCTAGGATGGGAAAAGTGCAGCTTATTTAAATAAATAATTATTTGTCTTTCAAAAAAGACTCAGGGAACATTCTTTAAGAATACTGAGCAGTACCAATTAATAATATCTGAGTCACTGGGCTGGCTTGATTTTAGACATTAAGGGGTTCTCTGTGGATTTTCCCATTTATTAGTATTTTAAATTTTTTAGATTAGACCATTATTTTTATAACTGCAGTTGGGAAATAAATATCTTAAGAGGGTTTTTTCCTTTTAATGCAGGGTTACAAAGTGATTTACAGTGAAAATTATGAAGACTTAATATTTGAGTTTCCTCTGGAACATACTGTTCCTGCAAGGTCAGTACCATTGAATAGTATTTAAAACTCATGGAAATACGTGTCTTGTGGGGCAGCCAAAATGCTGCAGTCCCTAATGACCTGTGCTACAGGAATAAGAACCAAGCAGCTACAACTGGCAGCAAAGTTTTGGTCACCAATTTGGGAATTAAAAACCCTCCTAAACTGATTATAGCCAAGATTTGCAGGGACAGCACAAAGGGCACCTCTATCCCTGACATGAGTCATTATCTTCTATGTGACTTGATTTCTATGTTTTAAGATCACCCAAACACTTTTGCATTAATTGCATTAATGCAAGTAAGCGATAAATGCAATTTTTAAAAAAATCACAGGACTCATTTACATTTCCCAATTATCTTCTAATGAGTAATTTTACATGCAGACAGTGTCCACTCTGTAGAACAGGCCCCTCAAAGGCAGGGTTTGAACAGCCACAACCCAGCACTTTCGAAAGTGATGACACCAGTCCCCATTCAACCAAAAACCACATTTATTTAAAGGTTTGCGTCATTTCAGAAGGCTGCACAATGTCTCACAGATAAGCAGTACTGCAGAGGAAACAAAGGCAGGGAAAGGGCAGGCACTGGGGACAAGGACTGACTCCACAAGACATCCATCATGGCATAACAAGCACTGCATTCTTGGCAGGTTTATCGCTGCAAAAAAGGAATTAAGGGCAGCCTGAAGAGCCACAGCACATGGGAGCTGCTCCAACTCACACCTGGATTTACTGATGTTGTAAATGTCCGCGTCACGAGTCTCACAAAACTCATACCCTGCAATCAAACAGCCAAGTGAAAATTTAAATTTTTGCAATATTGGGGGTAGGAGGAGGGGATTATTCCCCATGTCTGAGAACCAAGAACTGAAAATAGTGTGGTGCTAAGTGAATAAAACTTACAGAAGTAGTTAAAAGAATCATGAAATCACTCCATGTAAAGGTGCTGAGTCAAGTTTTTTTGAGCGTGTGCCAAGACTGCATTGCTCAGAAAACAGATGAACTCTTTAGAAAAGATCTATCATAACTCCTCTGAAAATAATTTTTATTTCAATTCACTTGACAAACTTCCCAGTAAGGACAGTTGGGAATCACACATCCACTGCCACGCTGTGGAGCTGTATACCTAATGCCTGATCCAAATCCCTAATGGGCATCAGTTATTATATAAGATGAATTAAACATGAAGATTATTTATTTCCATAGCACATTTTAAGTATGTACTTGTATGTGATGAAAATTTTATTGTTTGTGCTTGGGAAATAAAAGGGGCAGGATGCCTAGTGTTAAAACGAATTTTCTAATTGAACTTTAATGAGCCTTGTCAAATCCCTTGATGCAGCTTTCTCACTTCTAAGGATCACTTGGTCCTTATCTAAAGAGTGAGCCTGCATTAGCAGGGCTGTGCATGTTGAGCCTTAGATTTAACTTCACGCAAAATATTTTTCCTTTAAAAGTTAGCCAAATGGAATTAGCTAATGAAATTATTTTACATTATTTTAGATAATGTATGTAATTTATTTACATTATTTGATTTATGAGGGAAAACACTAAGGAAAAAGAAGAAATAAAAAAAGAAAACCAACCAGCCAAAACTCTGCTAGCTGTTGGCAGATTAAAAGCAACAGCAAATTCTACATTTCAGAAGTAAGTTTTCCCCAAAGTTTCCCCTTCTCAACAAGAAAATTATTTCGTCTTTTCAAAAAGAGATCCCATTTTGACCACTTTGCTATGACCAAGGTCATGGCAAATGCCTTAGAACCAGCAGTACATTTATGCTGCTCACACTGCCAGGGAACTGTTACCCAAGTTTGTAAATTTTTTTTAATGCAAACATCACTATAGCAAAGAAATATTTTGTGTGATTCAAGCAGAAAACAGTTCCAGAGAAAGTGAAGTCCCAGAGGACAGAGTGGCTGTGCTCCTCTGGATCTCTCAGCAGGTCCCAAAGCACCACAGAGGGGGCCCAAAAATAGACCCAGTTTTTAACAATAAAACACACATGACTTCCTAATCCCACAGACCTCTTGGAAACATTTTCTTTCTCTTCATGTCAACCTTTTCCTCTTATACACAGCTCTTCAAGGAGGTTTTTATAGCCACTGCATCTGGAATTGGAGATCTGAAATGCCAGATCCAGCTACAGCAGGGCAATGAATTATCCCTGTCAGTCCATATCACAGACTCAGGAGCTCAGATTGCTGTCACTGTCAGTAGTGCTAAAATTCATGAACATAGTTTATGAGTAACCCTTAGTTCAATTTAATTACCTTACACCAAACCAACTAGCAAAAACCATGGCTTCAGTCCAGAAAAGAGAGTATTATCCATCAAAGTATAAAAGCACTCCTAATCTGAGGTTGGGCAAGCACTTACTCTCATGCCTTTGTGGTATCAAAGGCTTCTGTCATTCAAAAGGCACTTTCAATTATGATGTATTCCTATTCTTTTTAAAAAAGGCGCCCCAAAGAAATATAAAATCCTCATTTAATTACATCCCTACCCTTACAAGCCCAGTGCTGCTTTGTAAGACTAAAAATTTCCTAGATGTTAAATAGGAATATCATTCCAAAGGAAAAATAATGTCAAGGATAAAACTTTGTTCCTGAAGAAAACTAGAACTTCACTTGGTGTTTTAAAGACTTCATTAACAAAACCCTCTGTGGGTATCTACAAATGTTAAATTAAGATCAAGACCTTAAACAGTTTGTCAAACAGATGAGCACATCAAAGCATTTCAAAAAGGAAGAACCTGAGACTTGAAAAGCTGTCAAGAGAGCAGAAGTGAGAAGAAATAAAGGCTAATGAAGTAACTGCAATGCCTGAAGAAATGTCTGGAATAGGTTTTCCTCTACATTATCATTTTAGAGCACTAAAAATGAGGCTGAATTCACTTTATGAGCCTGAATTCACTTCATCACATTCAATATTTTATTACATAGAGATGCATATTTCTATGAAGACCCATTCCCCCCTTTCTTAATCTCTTTATAACTGAACGATCTCTTTGCTGTTATTTCCAAGTTATTTGTCATGTTGGGAAATAGAAGAGAAAATATTGCATCCATTCCAGCACAGCTGCTGGAAGATGCCATAGTCTTGGTGCAATCCCTGAGCCAGAGAGGTGGGGGAATAGTCCATTTACTGTGGGCAATTGAATTTAGTTTATGCAAATAAATCTCTACAAAGATCCAGAACAAATAAATCAAACTTTTCTTCGTCTGTAACCTAAGGCTCAAGGAAACCCACAGCACCCTCATGGTGCAACATCTTCAGGCTTGAGGCTTTAATTTGGGGAAAAAAGCACCTGCCCTGGTGTTCAGCATGGTACAACTCTGTATGTGCACCTCTCTTCCCCTGCAAAGGCAGGTGTACGAAAAATCCATTTATTGGATATCTGCTACTGATAGTAAAGAATTTTTTGTTAGAAGGAAGCCAAGTTAATAACTGATGCCAACTCTAAAACTGCAGAGCTGTGTAGTCATATTTGTATCTCCTCTATGAGCTCATAAATAAATTGGTATAAGCTGTTAAACTACTTCTCTTAAGTTTTCAAATGATATTTTTTGTACACATCATGATTTTTAAAGAAAGTCCCTTTTTATCTTGTGCAACACACACTAGGTCTGCAGTCTGCCTGCTAATTATTTCAGAGCCACAAGGTTTGTATCCCACATGGAAAGAGCTAAATCTTCTGTGAGAGTTGGAATTAATCCTTCTGACTTGGAAAAATCTATTCTCATGCCTGCCTCCTTGCATTCATTGCAGTGCTGTCCCCCAGCACAACCTGAATTTTAAGTGTACTTGCTGTGACACTACTGGAAGATGATGTTTCAGTTGCCTGTTTTATTGAGTGTAACACTTCCCAAAATGTGATGGGGTTTGATGGATGATTATTTGAAAGCCCTACTTGTAGGATAAAAGCTAAGCCAGCAAAGCAATGCATTTCATTGAGCACACTCCATTTGGGAACGCTGCTGGAGATGCACCTGGAAGTGCTCATCGGTGGAGACACAACGTGTCTGACTGCAGCAGGGGATGGCCATGGCAGACCATGAAAGGACCGTGGGCTCCTGTCAGCAAAGGAGG